AATGTATTTCTTGCCACCATAAAGCTTTCTATTAATTATGAAATTACTCAGATTCTCTGTAAGTTCAACTTTGATGTCATTTTCTCACTTATCAGAAAACGTCGTTGCTCAATTCTTAAAGATATCCTCTTTAATTCTTGCTGACTTTTATCCTGTCATCTCAATGTGAATTTGACATATATCGCTAACCTGAAAGAACATAAATCCTATGCTTGAAAGGAGAAATAAATTTTTGAAAGCTAATCACAACTGGATACTTAATTATAATTTTGATTTTGACAAAAATTATCTGTAGAGCATCTCAAACTTTTCCCATATTATTAAAAACCTAAAGAGTACACCTCAATTTCCTTGATGAGTATACCATAATTTCCAGGTTGGCGTCAGATCAACGATGCATCTATGTGGAATGTTTCAGCTTGATATGTGTGCCAAGCACATACGCAGCAACAGAGCCAAATTACTGATGGTAGAAATTTATATTAAAAGTAGCAGCTATGCTGCCAGCCTTCGTCTGGCTTTTAAACGTAGCGGGAAAATGCCTGAAGGGAACACCAAATGTTAAATTTAAAAACTGCACAAAATTTTACTCTGCAGAACAGTTTCATCAAGAAAAAAAAAAAAAAAAAAAAAAAAAAAAATACCTATAACAAAATTACAATGTACTAAGCAAATAGCCCTTAATATAAATATTAATTATCCTAATAAATAAATTAACCAACTTCGCATGTCCTTCTCTCGACAAACATCCAATATCCAAGAGAAACATTAAATTTAAAAACTGCACAGAATTATCGCCTTCATTTTTCCAAGTGGTAACAGTGCTGATTTTCAACAGTTAGCAGTCCAGTATACAATTAAATGAAAAAATGATGCCAAAACCACATTTCTAAAAGAATGAAATGATTCAAAATGATGCAATAAAATAGAAAATATAAATTTTTTTAAAAATCCAATTTGAATTTTGAAAAAAAATTGCTTCGAGGTGTACTGGCTCTTGTCTAGATGCACCTATATACCAAATTTCGTAGCCCTGGGTCTATTAGCTTACGCGCAAAAAAGCATGAATAAAAGACGCACAAATCTTTTTTATTACATGAGAGCTTATTGTTTTTTAATAACAAAGTATTTTATTTAGTGTTAAAGTGAAATTAAGAATCGGGATTCTCTAGATGTTTTATTACACGCGGAGGGGGAATCAAATGTGCATGCGTAAAGCTTACGAGAAAAACTTTGTAGGTGGTTTTGAGGTCCAGATTTTAGATTATTCCGGTTGGTCTTTGGTTTGGTTTATTTAATTATGGCAAAGCACACTAGGGCTATCTCCCCAAGGGGAAGGATGCCTTCGTGAAGGGCTTTCTAAGGGGAACTGGCTCGTATACACATTACACATGATGGAAACCACGAAAATGCCCATGCAGCCAGGCCGTTTGCGTGATTCGAACCTCGAACCGAACTACTAGTGTTCAGTGACTTTACCGCTAGACTGCTGGTGGGCCCTTAGATCATTCCGGATAATGGAGGTCCGGATTTCGGACTTTGTATTGTATATATACATATTTTTTACTTTTTGGTGCAGCTGACTGCAATGAAAACGGGAAGTGCACAGCTACACGTTACAGCAGTGCTATATACAAAATTTCAACTTTCGGAGGCAACTCGTTTTTGAGTTATGCGAGATAAATATGCATACATACATACGTACAGATGCTACAAAAAAAATCTCCTTTAAATCCATTTTAAATCAATTTTAATATCATTGGGATAAAAAGAGTCCTTTCTTCTGTCCTTACATATGGATATCGCACAAAAGCATCGTTCAATTGCATTCGACAGAGGTCAAAATGTATATTTTCACTGAAATATGATATATCAAAATTTTCACGATTACAATATTTCCTTTACTTCATAGAAGGAAGTAAAAATTGATTAAAAAATATTGAATCCTTCCACATTATTAAAAAATGTTGGGCTGATCTTTGGAATATGGTAACTGGTAGTTTGGCGACATTTTGGAGGCGATATACCTAGGACTTTGGTAATAATGTGAGTAGTACTCAGTTCCAATTACGCATTATTTTTGTGTGAGGGAAATGAGAGATCATGAGATATGTCATGTGACATTAATGGACGAATTACAGTTCTTTAATCGGAAAAGGGGGGGGGGAATTTGGAAAACTGTATTTTGTATTAAGCTTCATTGTGTGTTGTGTGAAATAGTGGAAGTGTGCATGCCACGTAATGAAGATTAGGTAAGTTAGTATTTTTAATCATTTGAGGATATTATTTTTATGCATTGTTCTAAATGTAAGGAGTAAATAAATTAATATGACATTATTGGAAAATTGTTATTAGCAATGATTTAGTTTTAAAGTAATTAGGATTGTAATCCAATTTTTACTAATTTAATGTATGTGCTTATTTATATTTTAAGTAGTGTTTTTTAATTTAATTATATTTTAATTTAATGATCGTGATTTTGTGAGTTATATGTTTGTAGTATTTTGGAATACGTTTGAGTAGAATACGTTGAGTATCTTCATGCATTTTCATGAAAATTTTCTAATTTATGAGAAAAAAGCAGTGTACATGGATATAGTGAAGGGTGTGCGCAATGCCATTTTTGTGCAATTCTGGGATTTTTTTTTAAGTAAAAATAAGTCGACGTGTACATGGTTTAGTGATATTTTAATTAAATGATAGTTACTTTGTGAATTTTATGTTTGTAGGAATTTGGTATACGTTTCAGTTGAAGTAAACGTGCATAGAAGTAATTTAAATATTTGACACTAAATATTTGTAACCATTTGTAATGTTTGCGGTGTTAATTCGTTGGTGACGTTTATAATATAATAGATAATTTAGAGGTAAAAGTTTTTGGATATTTTATTTATTTTAAACGTGGAAATGTTCATCTTTGGAAAGGGTATATACTTTTTGCAATCAGGTAATTTCATACATGTTCTTTTTACCGGATTTAAAGATTCACAAAATTTTCATGCATTTTCGTAAAATTTTCCCAATTTATGAGAAAAAAGCAGTGTACATGAATATAGTGAAGAGTGTGCGCAATGCCATTTTTGTGCAATTCTGGGATTTTTTTTAAGTAAAAATAAGTCGACGTGTACATGGTTTAGTGATATTTTAATTAAATGATAGTTATTTTGTGAATTTTATGTTTGCAGGAATTTGGTATACGTTTCAGTTGAAGTAAACGTGTATGAAAATAATTTAACTATTTGACACTAATAATAAATTTAAATATTTGTAACCATTTGTAATGTTGCGGTATGAATTCGTTGGTGACATTTATAATATAATAGATAATTTAGAGGTAAAAGTTTTTGGATATTTTATTTATTTTATACATGGAAATGTTCATCCTTGGAAAGGGTATATACTTTTTCGCGATCAGGTAATTTCATATATGTGCTTTTTACCGAGTTTAAAGATTCACAGAATTTTTTTGCATTTTCGTGCAAATTTTCATAATTTATGAGAAAATAGCAGTGTAGATGGATAAAGTTGAGAGTGTGTGCAATGCCATTTTTGTGCAATTCTGGGATTTTTTTTAAGTAAAAATAAGTCGACGTGTATATGGTTTATATGTATTCTGAAAAACGCACAAGGAGTTTGCGATTGTGCACTTATCCCCAATTTTGCATTCTGGGATGTTTTTTTAAGTAAAAATAAGTCGACGTGTATATGGTTTATATGTATTCTGAAAAACGCGCAAGGAGTTTGCGATTGTGCACTTATTCCCAATTTTGCAGTTAATATTTGTCATGATTAAGCAGTTTTGTTACATAAAATTTCTAGCATAAGTGTAATTTGGCTAGTAGATTGTTGGAAAAAGTGTTCAGTAAATAAAAAAAAAAAAAGAAACATGTCTTTACTTAGTGAAGACAAAATGGCGGCGAAAAAAAAATAGAGGGTTGCTGCAGCAGAGTTGGTCGCCAAATTTTCGCCAAGTTACCATAATCCAAAGATCAACCAAATGTTCTTCTTTAGTTAATAACATTAATTTTTCAGTGCTCAGAAAATTCTTATACCTTAGCTGTTTTTGCTTGGCTCTACTTATTTCTTTCCATATAAAACCATCTCGCTCTTCCTACAGCTGAAATTTTCTTCCGCCTTCTGAAACAGAGATGCTTATGTCTGACTGCCCTCAAAATGTGTTTCAAAATGTACACCAAAATAAAGTTGCTTTTCTGTATTATTTTTAAATTTATAGTCTCTTTAATAAAATAAAGACAAAAATGTGGTATTTTTCCATAAACATTTTCGTTTTGTACCCAGCCTTTTGCCAGATAAATATTAACAAATTTACTGAAATGTTGCATGTTTTTTGTTTACATGTACAGATTGTCAGCTAAACGTGCTGTGGGGGTAACTGTCCGTGTCAGCTAAGTGTTACAGATCCAGGCTCAGGGAGTTTTCAGTGCAATAGATGTTGAATGCTGTGAAGTTTGCACTTGCAGTTTAAGTATAAAATGCAGTTTTAAAATTGAAAATATACTGAGGATAAAGAACATATAGAGAACTGCATTTTAATATAAAAAACCTTAACATATGATAGAAATATCTGCAGATATTGAATTTTCAAATTTAAGGATTTTTGGATTTAATAGAATTAACAATGCAATACAAAATTTAAAATCCGGGTTAAACTTTTGAATACCTTATTGCATAAACGGCAATCAAAGTGATCAATAAGACATTATAATAGGAAAACAGCATTAATTTTTCTGTTTTATATACATGTATAAATTTTTATGACACCAGATTTAAATTGATGATCCCTAATCCGGAATCGCCGAAGTCCCGACGAGTCCAGATTACGGACTTTGTACAGTATAAGTATTGGGTTGATGCAATAGAAATTTGCATTCATTTTTAATTATTTGAATATCTGCAAAATTATTTCCAGGATAACAAATTTTAGAGAGAAATATTTAATTTCAAATAGCGATGGTAAACTAAGAATTTTATATACAAACCTTCAATGGAAAAGTCACAGTAGAATCAACATCATTACAATCAACATAGAACTTGCTATTGCTTTGTTGAGAACCACTTTTTGTTTTTTCCACAGCTTTGCTTGACAAAGTTTCATCTTTATTAGATTTACTATCAGGTTTGATTTCTTCCATTTCTATTTCAATAGGGCTAACATATGCTATATTTTCATTCTCTTTCTGCTTCCTACTGCCTGACACTGGAATGTCATTTTCAGTCACTAGGGATTGATAAGGCAAACTGTCATTTTGGGCACATGGTTCATGTTTTCGACTTTCACTTTCAGCATTGAGATTAATTGATAGTGATACAAAATTACCTGATGTTTTAGAATGACACTTAATTAAGCCTGATTTGTTCGATTCACTCTTGGAACTATTACCAGACGATGATTTATTTGATTTTTTGCTAGTTTTTGATGATGAGCTGAATGAATCGGAATCAACAGCTACAGTTTCTGATGATGATAAGGAAAGCGTCCGTTGTGCTTTCTGTGGTTTTTGTTTTGACTTAGATGAATCGGAACTTAACAAATCCTGCAGTGATTGTGATTGTTGGATATTGTTTTGACCCACGTCTACATTTAATGCACTTTTAGAACTTGGCTCTTCTCTATTCTTAACTTTCTTTTTACTTTCTAAAGTTCGATGGTGAGAAGAACTATTACCACTAGAGTTAAGAGCTGTAGAATTTGTTTCACTATATAACAATATTTTAGTGTGCCTTTTTTCAGATCGTTCAGACGCACAACTTGATTCCACAAGATTGTTTTCACGAGGTTCAGTTTCAGCAACTTCTTTTCTTAACTGTTTCAAAAGAACACTTTCTTGATTGTTAGGTTTATTGAAAGTACTTGCTTCTTTCAGTAAATGGAGGAATTCGTCATCTGATAAAGTAGTTAGATCACCAGTTTTTGAACCTTTTGATACCTAGAAAAATAGAAAATTTAAAAAGAATCGAAGAAAGTTTGAATATCTAAAATTTTCAACATGAAAGTTTTCGTTCATGCATTGGATCACCTATCCAAAAGATAGATATTTAAAAAGCATTTTACATAAAAAACAGGTCTGCAAGAATTTATACACTTCAAGATCTAATGATTTATTACTATTTATCAAAGCCTACATTTAATATTATAGTTTATTAACTAAATATTACAGTTATTAGTATGATATAGTAATACAAAGACGCTTTCCTCAATGAAAATTAGAACACACGTTTATTTTACATGAATTTTTCAAAGATAAACAAAAATTAAATAGTTTAAATCTTAACTGGCAGAACAAGTAAGGTACCTGGTTAGCAACTTTAACCAAAATGCAAATCTATGAAAGATTCATACAGATACCAAACAACATGCCAATTCTTTTATATAAGTATATATAGCAAATTTTGTCAAACTAATGGAATTAATACAAACTAAATCACTTTCCTGGTTAGATCAGTGTATTAACAGTTACTTTTCTGTCTAAATGACAATTAGTTTTAAGTTTTAGTATATTAGAACAACCACCTTGGAGCAGTCTCGCGATATTTTACAGAATAAAGATGCGATTCAGAAAACTTTCAGATTGCAACTTACAATGTATATGGCTAGCTAAAGAACTGTTATGCAAATGGTTGCCAGAGTTTGGCAACTTCTGCTAAGATGGTTACGACAATATGTTAAGGGCCTAGTTTTATAGTGCTTGATAATATAATCTATACAGAACCAGGCTGACAAATGGTGCACACAAGTGGCAGAATTTAAAACCAGGAAATGTTTCCGAATTTAGCGAGATACTGGATGGTAGAACTTAAAAGCCCTAAAAATTGCAATATAGGTTAAAAAAAAAACTCTAAACCTGCATAAAAATTATATTAGTTCCATATCAATGCCTGTATTTTTAATCTGATGCAAAAAAGTGATATAGACTTGATACTTGGTATATATTTTACAATAATAAGCAGTAGTAGACTTTCAGAGCATCTTTATTTTTACACATAATTTGTAAAACAATAATAATACAAGATGCAGTTCAAGTAACAAAGAATGTCTTTTCATTTAGGATAATTTTTTTATCTAAATTTTCTTAGCATATTTCATGCCTTTAGTACAAGCTTTATAAAATAGTCAGCATTTTACGGCTTTAAATCTGGGTATTTTTTTCAAGATTTCCCTACTATGTGATATTTTTTCTATTCCTGAAAAGGCTTGCTAGACACAGATATTTTTTCCACACTGTGACAGACTGTTTATTACAGGTGAAACAAGCACTGCCAAGCATTTTTCAGCACTGAGGAGGAGGGCGAAGAATGCTTGGTAAAAATGAGTTTCATCAGCTTTACACAAATATAGATTAAGTTTATAAATGAGTTATCTTAATTTTACTTTTTACTAATAATAAACTGCATTATCACCTAAAAAAATACTTCTATCCTAAGAACCACGATTTTTTTTAATTTTTTAAACATGAACACTGATTTTACAATTTAAAATACCGTCAAGTCAGATATCCAAAGCTTAGATTCATCGTAAAAAATCAAGCTTTTAATCAAATTACATTTATACCTTAAAAGTTAACCCACATAACATTAAACTTACTGAAATATTATATACTTTTGAAACTTAAGTGTTGTCAATCATAATAAGAACTGAATTTTCAGTTCCGTATTACACTACTGTACTTCTGACCGTAATAACTGTAAAGTATTATGAGAAATGCTCAAAATGTTGGCAATTTAAGTTTTAGAACCAATTGGCCTATCCACACATGTTAAATTTTTTATTTTGCATGAATGAAAAAGCAAAGTATTCAGCTGTTGATAAATCAAGGCCAATTTTAAAATATAAAACATCACCATAAAACAATAATAGACATTACAGCATTCTTATTACATTTCGAGACAACTGGAATTATTTTGCAATTTTTGCCTTGAATTCAGAATGATTAATTTTCTAGAAATCTAAAAAACGTTATGAAGAAATTGGAAAGAAAGAATAATATACAGTTTCAGAAAAACCACCACGCAATCCAGTTTAAATAAATCTGCAACATGTTTTTAAAATGCACGAGTAATAGTTTTCAATGTTCTACATAAATCTATTATTTCGGTCAAGAAGCCACAAAAGACTGGTTGTTAATACTTTTGCAGTAATTTCCACAAAGACTATCACGTATTCCCCTGTATGTGCTAAGAATTTTCAGTGAATTTTCTTTTTTTAATCGAATTTTGAAGTTCGGCTTGGATTTCAAAGATTTAGAAATAATTTGATCACAAAACTAATGTTTAAATAATGGAAAAAAATACTTTTTATTTTATTCTATAGCAGGGGTGGCCAAACTTCATGACAACAGGAGCCACATAATAGATTTCATGAATGTTTAAGAGCCGCAAATCCATATTTATACCATTTAAAAAATAATAGGATATGTTTTCTATGGAAAGAAACTTTTGAAGTAAATTAATGAGAAATTTGCATTTTATATGCGACTAACATGGTCATATATAAATAAATATTTTTCCCTCCTGCCCTGTAGTCAGAAAAGCAGATCCCAATAAAATATAAATTTGAAATTAATTATGCAGTTGAGTGTTCTTTCAGACAGAAAAATCAAACATTCTTTCCTTTTTCCTCCTCCTTTTACAATTGATGTTTGATTTTAGCAGAACTAAGCTAAAATCAGAAGAATATGTCTTGGTCTTTAAGAATACAGTTACATAATACATTTGAAGAAGAATACATTTAAGGGAATTATAAATAATTAATAAGAAAAAAAAAAAAGAGTTTTTTTTTTTTAACTCAAAAGAAGTCTTTTAGAAAAATAAATGAAGTAATACAGGTCAACACGTACTGCAGAGGAACTTTTATTTGAGAAAGAAAAATTATTTAAAAAAGCTATCAATTTTTTAGTCTTTTGCATAAAAATTAATTTTGTTTTTTCCCGAGGGTACTGAGCACACTGAGACCAAATCTAGCTTTCAATAATTGAATTAATTCATTAGATCCAAAATGGATTACGAGTTACGTTTTGATTTTTCTACAGACATTCAAATCCTCAAATCTCAGAAATTTTCAAAAAGATTTTAAATTCCAAACATTGAATCTTGGAGACTTTCCATCATTCGAATGATTTGAATCCTAACCTTAGAAATCGTTAAACATTTTAACCCAAAACTTTGGAATGACTAGTTAACTGATTCCCAGCATAAAAAAAAAATTAACCAAAAATTTATATGCGAGTGCAATGGTATCTGAATCATCAGTGTCATTCCTGACGGATCTGTGCGTTACATTATTTCAGTGGAGCATCCAGTGAAATCTGCCAGAACTTTTACGCAATTGTTGTGCATCGTTGAAAATTTTCGAAACTATCCTCATAATTCTGAGGATAGATGACTTATTGCTAATAAATCCAGCTGTTCATCCCACGATATATAAATATTTCATAGGCCATTATTTCAACTGTCTACCTGTCAAACTCTTCATTCATGGCTGTTGAATTTTGAGCTAATTTCAAATACAAGGGAAATTAAAACTAATGGTACAAAAAGAAAAATGATACAAAAAAAAGTAACTACTATAATGAATTTATTTCACAAATGCAGATATAATATGATGGTTTAATTTTCTAAATTTCTCTGAACATGTACAGACATTGTAGACATCTACAGAATAGTTTAGTTCCCGAGTTCTTGCTGCACATATGTATGGATCCATCGTATTCAAATTCTTAGCTGTTGGAAACATACAGCTATCAATTGACTTATCACTTTATCTTAAATTTCTAAGTAAAATAACTCCAACTCAGAGAAAAGAATAAAATGTTTTAATTTAATCTTCAAAATCCAAAACAGAGCTTGAAATGAATTTTTGAAATGCAATCTGTAGGCGTATGAGAGTACTATGATTGTAAAAAATGAAAGATTACACTTACAACCAAGACAAGTTTACAGTGGTAAATCCAGTACAGTTTCACATTATATAGTATTTGTAGCGATCAGGCAGTATATCATTGTACTACAACATTCCTTTCGGCTACAGAACTTTCGTGATGGACACGCGAGACGCACATGATAATCAAAGATTAAGAAGGTGAAAAATATCAACATATTCAAGAAGTATAATGACAGTACCAGAGCCAGGGTAACCGGTGCAACATCACCGAGCAGCAGAACTAAGGGGTGGAAAATTTGAAGAAAGTAGTAATGCGGGAGTAATGCGGGAGCAAAAAGAGTCTATCCTAGTGCGACATTTGTGACAACAGAGAAAGAAAGAAGTTCCTCAAGCAACATACGATAAATCAGCACAAGATAAAGCAATTTCATTCGCATCAGTATGTCATATTTTGACAGAAATTTTGTAGAAGAGAGATATTTGTATCCAGTTGATCCTTCACTGCTTGATGCAACATGAAGTTGAAAGACTTGTATCTTTAAAAACCCTTTGACGGTTATGAACGAGTTCAGCTCGCAATCGAATCGTGCTTCATAATGCGCGCAAACGAGTTCCGCTCAGGAGCAAGATTTTGACCGAAATGGTTAGTAACGAGCACTACTCGCGTAGTGAAATTTTTCCTCAATGCGCGCTGACGAAGCTGACTTCGGTCGCCATTATTATTCTGCACTGATTGTGTTTCAAACAATGCTACTCGTGAATTTAGTTAGTTTTACTGTCTACAGATGGCAGTACGAGTTCCATGAATTTCTTCTTTGCATAATGAAGGTAGATTTTTTTTTTTTTATTGTTCCTTTTATACGTATTTTGGCGCGGTTTTTAGGGTGTTTGTACAGTAAAATGGCTCAAAAGCGAAAGTTAGATAGTTATGATTATGACTGTGATACAGAAAGCTTATCAAGTTTTGAATCTGATGAAGACTTTGTTCACAGTATTTCAAGCTCAGAAGATGATTCAAGCGATGAGGAAGATTTTTCGAGTGTTCGACAG